TATATATATATATACACGTATGTGTATATATGTGTGTGTGTATATATATATATATACACACACACACACACACACATATATACATACACACACACACACACACACATATATACTTTTTTTTTTAAGATTTATTGGGGAAAGGGAACAGTGTTTTTTTTTCCAGGACCCATCAGCTCCAAGTCAAGTAGTTGTCTTCAATCTAGTTGGGGAGGGCACAGCTCAGTGTCCCATGTGGGAATCAAACCTGCAACCTTAGTGTTATGAGCATTGCACTCTAACTGAGCTAACCGGCCACCCCAAGTTTATTATAGTGGACTTTGTTAAACACCTAGAACAGTGCAGAGAGAAAGCTTTTTATTTAAATAACTAAATGAAGGAGGGGGGGGCATTCTTTTGTGTGTTTTCTTATGGTTTAGATATCGGTCCCTGAGATTTTTCTCCCCATGGCTGCATACTTAGCTACCTCCACTTGAATTCATGTGGGAAGATAAAAAATCCTCAGGATGTTGGCTTTGGATTAATGTAAGGATTAAGGAGAAAAAATGATAAACTGTGAAATGCTTAAATGGCACTTTTACTCTGAGACAAGCACTGTTCTAACAATCACATAGATGAACTCATTAATATACCCACCCTGAGATGGGTGGCCAGTGTTATTCCTGGAGCAGGTAGGGAAGTTATCCAAGGCTATGCTCAGTAGGAAGTGGGGCCCAGATTTGCAGCCAGGCAGCCTGACGCTACCATCTGTGCAGAAAGTTCTTCCATCCCCGTCTTAAAGAACATGTCATTAGGGAGTTCTGAATTTTGTATATATTCATAGTATATTCTGTTTACAATGCTTTTCTTACAAGTATACAACTCACACTGAAGATGTTTAAAGGTCTCCATGTTTGTCTCAGTTTGGCTAGAAACACAAACAGTGCAAACAGATATCTGGGCTTGGATCCTAGCAAGATGACCTTAGGCAGCCTCGCTTCTCAGTGAAGACGGTAAAGCACTTCCCTTACCTGTGAATTAGAGGCTGGAGCGGGGCTAACAGGCAGCGTTGAAGTGGCTAACGATCGGCTAAGGAGAGGGTTGGGGAGAGTGCTGCTGGGAGGATGGGTGGCCTTCCAGTAGGCCTCCAGGTAGTCGGCCAGGTGCTCACAGGCATCCTCCAGCTGGTTCTCATCCAAGATCACATCAAACAACTCCTGCAGAGGCAACATTGCAGGCACAGGTAGGCCAGCCCAATACTGACCCAACTTCACACCCACCCGCCGTACACAGGGAGGGGCCGCGCCCCTTAGGACCGGCCCTTGTGCATGGGCTTCTCCTCAGTCAGATTATAGCATTGTTTAGAGTCCTGGAGGTTTAACCAACAAAAATGACCAGAAAGGGAGCCGGCGTCATAATACTTGTTAAACGGCATGATAGAAAAGCTGCCTGCCAATAGTGAAACAAGGAATTGATAACTATGGTAGAAAAGGGATGTAAAAAGAAAAGAATACAATCTGAACAGAACAGGAAGAAGCCTGTTTTGATACATGAGACTGTGACAAACTTAGTCTTAGAAATCGTTGAGGTGAGATTAAGACAGGAAATTTGGCAGAAGCTGAAACCACTGATGCTGTCACATGGTCCAAACTTCAAAATACATCAAAGGGTTTATCATAAATTCTGACATACTCCAAGCAATCAAAATGGATATAATCATAATTCTTGGAGCTTCAGAAATACTTCCACTTAAAAACAAAAACTAGAAGCATGTATAGTTGCAAGACATGGTTTGTAAAACAGAGATTAGAATTAGGAATGTATTCAGATGTCAGAATGTGGGTAACTGTTTAGTAATTTGTTTTTATAAGGTCTCTAATTTCTCACTTTTTAAGAGGCTCATAGCTGCTCACTATGGTGAACAGGGTTAACTAACCCAAAATATATGTTAGATACCAACAAAGCGAGGTGACCACAGATGTGTAGCTTTCTGTAAGCCATTATCTGGGTAAGTGCTCATGGCAGGAGGTGGGGCCATTTACTTCTTGGGAAAAAAGTTCACTGCTAGTAGTAAGGTTTCTTTCCCCGATGGGCATTTAACCATCTTCTTTTTGTTTGCCTTTTGAATATAATGCCAGGTTGGAGCTCTTCCTCTGGATTATACTGTACATTATGGAACTTACTGGAGGACACTGGGACAGTTTATCGGCAGCCACCATCTGGACATTGAGGTGTTTAGCTTGAGATTTCCCTCGAGATTTTATTAACCTTTGTAAAACCTGTAAAAGAAATGATTTTTTTAACACAGGGATGTCTGCATTCAGGTAAATGACAAGATTCACTGTTCACTCCTTTCTCTGGGACCTTTTTATATGTAGCACACATGGCTTATAATTGATTGAGCTACAAATATAATGTATAATATTACCTGCAGAATTAACATGTTAGCATAAATCTCAGCTGCAAGCTCTAAAACATAACTAGCATGGAGCTTGTTCTGAGTCTTTTTTCAAGGCTCCTGGTGAGCAAACTTTTTGTCTCACGACTCCTTTGTTTAAAAGAATTGAGAAACCTAAAAAGGTTTATTAATTTTTAAGTGAATATTCTTTTAATTTCTAAGATGGTAAATATTAGATATAGTTCACATAAAGAAACACTATTACATGTTAACATAAATTACTTATTTTTATAAAAATAGTTACTTTTTCTGCAAACCTCTTTAGAGACAGCTGAATTCTATGTGCTTCTACATGGAATCTGCTATAATGGATGGTTTTATTTGAAATATGTTAAGGAACTCTAGCCTTGTACAAATATAGTTGAGAAAAGGAACATTTTAGTAGCCTTTCCAGATAATTGTGGATATTCTTCTTTGTAGCGTAGAAACTATACTAAATAGTTTCATAGACTAGTTACCATGTGAAATATGAAACCATATCAGTGAACCTTCCTTAGTGTTACATTAAAATACATTGGTCTATCTTGAAATTGGAATGGATCTTTTATCATGCATGATTTGTAATGTCATTCATGGATCGTTTGGAAAATAATGGTTCACTAAGTTCTTCAGCTCTTCCAAAGCTGAGACATTTCATTACACAATATCAAAACGTGTTTCTTAATATTATCATTGATCTCATTAGAAAAGTCTTTATTTGTTGGGAAGTTGCCAAGCTCTGAAAAGTGAATACAAGTTATCCAGAATTCTGATTTTTGTTTGAAAGCTTGAGTTTTATCATTGGTAACAAATGCTGTCAGTTGTTTTCCTTGATGTGACAGACTTATCTTGTTCCACAAAATATCTGCCAGATACCCATCCGTTGTTCTTTCAAATAAAAATGGTGTTCCATGAAAAAAATGGCTAGTTAATTCATGACTCAAATAATTAGTGTTTATCTTCAACATAAGTAAGCTAGTTGGGTATTTGTAGCTTATGTGTACATCCTGTTTCATTAGTCAGAATATTTAAAAGGGTTGTACAAGAGTCAAAATTTAATAAACACAAGTACATAGTGGGGAGAATACAGTAACTGCTAGTACCGTCTGATACGACAGTCCTGATTCACACTCGAACCCTTGCAGTTTTACCCACCATGGCTCTTGTACCATCAGCGCAAATGTCAACACAGTGAAAAAGGTGAATAACGTTTCATATTATGGAAATTGTTTTGGTCTCATGGACCCTCTGAAAGTGTTTTGGAAACCACCCCTCCCCAGGGGTTTGACCACACTTTGAGAATCAGCTGTTCTAAGCCATGAAACTAATAGTCATCCTTTGCTCCTATCAATCTTAAAAACTGACTAACATCTCTTCAAACGCTTTATGATGAAGAAAGATATAGTCTGTTATAACTGGGAAACAGCATAAACACTCATTTTACCAAACTTGGATTACAGAGCAAATACAAGCAAGCCTCCTTACCTTGGGAGAAGAAATCTTTACATACACTATGATCGGGGCCAGGGAGGTTTTACTGAGCTGGGCCGGATGGTTAATAGTGTCCGCATCGAGGACCACCAGCTGCAGTGTTCTTGCAAGTTCAAAAATCCTTTCGATTTCACTCTGAACCTCCGCTGTAAAGGTTAAGCAGAGTCCGATTACTTAAAGCACAGTATTTTTAGAGCACATTGAGATAAAGTCAAATGGCGCACTATTTTAACAGAAAGGTGGGCAGGTCAGCCGCTAGGTTAATGTGCGCAAGCAATAAAGCTGATAAAAGCTGTTCTGCACAACACCTTGAGAGTTTGGGGAATTCCTCTCTCA